CTACAAGGACCAAATATATCTGGGCACAGGGTCTTTTCTGAGACTGAAACTCAACCAAGGACCATCTATGGATATAACCTAGAACTTCTGCTCGGATGTGGCCTGTGGTAGCTCAGTAACCAAGTAGTTTTCCAAAGTAAGGGGAACACGGACTATTTCTAATAGGATCTCAAGGGCAGGCTGTTTGACCCCCACCCCAGGGGAGGAGCAGTCTGTTAGGCCACAGAGGAGGACTTTGCAGCCAGCCCTGAAGATACCTGATAAAACAGGGTCAGATGAAAGGGGAGGAGGTCCTCCCCTATCAGGGGACTTGGAAAGGGGCAGGGAGGAGACCAGGGAGGGAGTGTGGGGTTGGGGAGGGAATGAGGGAGCGGGATACAGCTGGGACACAGAGTTAACAAAATGTAACTAAAAAGAAAAATAAAATAAAATAAAATAAAAAAATAAATAGTAAATAATAATACTATTGCAGAATGAATTGTAATCACAGCAAAATTGATGTCAGATATGAATAGAACAAATGTAAAAGATACTTCTATATGGGTCTTTTAAATGCCACGTATGTAGCACAGCTGTAATCTGTAAGACCTATCTCTGAAACATATAAAAGTTAGAAGTAAACAACATGATAAATTATTTGTGACACATAAATAATTAAAATAGAGCCAGTTTATTGGCTGTAAAACTAGTAAACGAAGTGCTTATCAATTGAACTCCCAATGAAAGCTTGTCAATCACTGGAATGATCATTTAAAAAACTGTCATTACTTGTTAATGTATATCCATGTATAAGCAAAACAATGAACATGTTTCATAATCCTGCTTTACATTTGAGGACACAAAAGTCAAATCTTACAACTATATGCTTTCAGAATACATTTATATTGATAAGTGATAAGCATTGGGTCACTTTAACGTTTTATGATATATGAACTATTCAAGGATGATGGCATAGCAATTTTTCCATAAAATGGCACATGTTCACCCTCGTTTCCCCTGTTGTCCAGTCAACAATGTGAGGCATTGAGAAGCCTGAACCAGGACAGGAGTGTACCACAAAGGGGCTCTGAAAGACTCTACCCAGCAGTGTATCAAAGCAGATGCTGAGACTCAATACCAAACTTTGGGCAGAGTGCAGGGAATCCTATGAAGGAAGGAGGAGATAGTGGGACCTGGAAAGGACAGGAGCTCCACAAGGAGAGCAACAGAACCAAAATATCTGGACACAGGGGTCTTTTCTGAGACTGATACTCCAACTAAGACCCATTCACGTTTATAACCTAGATAACATAGAACCCCTACTCAGTGTAGCCCATGGCAGCTCAGTATCCAAGTGGGTTACCTTAGTAAGGGGAACAGGGACTGTGTCTGACATGAACTCAGTGGCTGGCAACTTTGATCACCTCCCCCTGAGGTAGGAGCAGCCTTGCCAGGCCATAGAGGAGGACAATGCAGCCAGTCCTGATGAGACTTGATAAGCTAGGGTCAGATGGAAAGGGAAAAGAACCTCCACTATCAGTAGACTTGGAGAGGGGCATGGGAGGAGATGAGGGAGGGAGGGTGGAATTGGGAGGGAATGAAGAAAGGGGCTACAGCTGGGATACAAAATGAATACACTGTAATTAATATAAAAATAAAAATTTAATTAAAAAAGAAGAAGAAGAAGCCAGAACCAGGACTGCAGAGATGGCTCAGAGTTTAAGAGCACTGGCTGTTCTTCCAAACGTCCTGAGTTCAATTCTCAGCAACCACATGGTAGCTCACACAATTTAAAAAAAAATGATATCTGGTTCCTCTCTTCTGGCCTGTAGGCATATGTGCAGGGAAAATACTCTATAAATAATAAATAAAGCCTAAAAGCCTGAAGCAGGATAACAGCTAACTTTGGACTCAGAAGAAAATGTGTTAGCTATTTTAATGACTAATTTAGCTATCTACATCCTAGAATTACCTTAGGAGAGAGTCTTATTAAAGGACTGTCTAGACAATCTTGGCTGTTGAGCATATGAGGAATTGTTTTGATTATGTCAACTGATGTAGGAATATAGAGCTTTAAAGTAGGTGGCCCTGTATCCTAATTTTGGACCTAGAAATCTAACATTTAAATATATGTTATGTTTATCTAACATATAAATATATGGTATGTAATATCTAAATATAACATGCATAGAGTTATTTCTTTGCTCTTGATCCTACATAAAAACTGCATACTTGATTTTCTGGAATAATGAACTGTATTCTTTGTTCTGAACTAAAATAAACACTCTTTCACGTAGGTTGCCTTTGCCATGGTATATTATCACAGAAACAGGAATGAAGAAAGGACAGTTGTCCAGCATGGGGATATTGCTGTCTTTATGAAGCACAATAGTTTTGTCTTCCTGTGTCTTCTCTGATCATTCATTGCTCGCTCTTTTTTCTATGCTCTAAACCTTCCTATTGTCACAATAACCATGAGGCTTCCGAACAGTAGCACATTTTGGTAAAAGAGAACATGGTGTATTCTTGAATGCTGTCATTATAAAATCTGAATCTCAGTAACATGGACCTAAAGACAGACAACAACAGTGGAGGTGCCAAGATGTGGCCTTGTAACTATGTGGGTCTGAGACATGTCAAGGATGAGTCCTACAGAAAACTTTCTGCTCCTGAGTGCATAGTGTAGCTTTCTAGTGGATTCAATAGACAAGATATCACAACATCCTAATTCAAAAGCAAAGAGGAGAGCAAGCTCTACAATTATTTCACAAATATTGCAAAAATGATATGAAAATATAAATTAAAGGAAAAGAAAAATAGCAATAAATATCAACAATTTCCTGATTATTAAAATATAACTTATTTGAATATCAACATAACATTTGTATATACTTGTAATGAAAATATGATTACCATTGAGTTAATTAACACAGTTAATATTAATGAATGTAAACCAAATTCTTTTAGCATAAGAATACACATTTTTGAGTACTGCAAGAAGCTTAGAAGCTAACTAAAAAGGATAAAAAAGATACTAAAACTGTGGAAAGTTAAATATATACCAAAATTTTATAATATGAATGATTTATAAGTATGAGTTGAAGAAAATAAATGAGCCTAGATTTTCTGAAAAGCAACAAATATGTTTAAGCATCTGAACAATTTCTCAAATATTCTTTTAGGAATGTTAGCTCTTTTGTGTTATCAATATATAATTACCTTTAGAAATAGCATCTTCCAAACATGTGTCTCTCAATAGACAATAAAACACATTAATGATTAACTAAAATGTTAACTACATAAACTACAATATTACTTGGTGGATAGCACTAAAGAAAAGCAAAGTCTTTTTTAAAATACTGACAAAAGGAGACTTTACATATATTTGCAACAAGGCTTCCCAATTTCCCAGGAAAAAAAATATTACCATAAGTGATGCTATTTTCATACCAGCATGTATGATTCTCACTTTCCAATATTCTTCAATGTTTTCTGGTATGGGTATATAAACATAATAAGCAAAGAGGATACAAAAAAATCCAAAGCACAGAGCTTTGTACTCCATGATAAATCGTCTCCAATCTTCTCCATGTGGCTAGCCAAAGGCTGCCTCATATATCAATTGCTAGAGTAAGACAAAGGTAGAAGGCAAATTCTTTCAGGTAAAATGACAATAATAGCAACACTCACTGAACATGTGCTTCCAAATTCAGGCCACTGTTGTAACAAGTTATGTAAATGAATGCCTTTGTGCAACAGGATGTGTCATAATATATCTATTGACAATTTTCATCAAGAGCAAAAGCTTTATGATAGTAGCAAGTTCTTTAATCTTAGAGAAACATCTTAGAGAGAGAGAGAAAGAAAGAGAGAGAGAAAGAGATACACAAAGAGACAGAGACAGGAAGAATGTAGCATTACTGCAAAATTCCTTACAAAGATGCTTCAGTTCTTTGATCATAGAAAACAGCAGGAGCTCAGATAACATTTAGGAGTCTGCCCCTATTTACCCACTTCTAGCATCAGTTGGTTTTTACTTCCCATCAAGTTTCTGACTTCAACTGCAACTGGGGAAAAACAGAATGGTGAGTCAGGGAGATTAAACTTTTTAAGCCCAGGTCCAAACGGCAGAGTTCTGGTTGTCAAATGGGATTGGTAGAAGGTATCGAAAGTTCTGATCACTTGTAGGAATTTTCATGCTGTTTCTGTTGATGCTCATTTGATAGTCACAAGGCACCTGGCTTTCAGGAGACAGACGTCTCCTATCACTACAAAGTGAAAAAGAGTTGGGGAACCAGGTCAGGCCTCTTACCTCACCTCCTCTTGGGACTCGACCTTCAGATATAATGTCTGATTGCAATTGTTCTCCATGGAACCCTGGGGCAAAATACATGATCTCCTGACTCTTACATCATTAATGACTCTAAAGCCTGTATCACATGCACAACACTGACAAGTTTGGGTGTCAATTTGCAATGAACCCTGCTCCTCTTGGACCAGAGCACAGCTACAGCAGCAACTGTACACTGAAGCTGATGAAAATATTCTAGGCAATTATTTTCTTGAAGCTAGAAATCCCTTAAATTCTCTCTCTCCCTCTCTCCCTCCCTCTCTCTGTTGGGTCCTCCCTTTGGACACCTTTGCTAATGCTCCACTACAGAGCAGATAGCTTCTCTTTGATGGTTCTAATCTCTTGAAAAGTTACATTGCCCCCCTTAATACATGATTGACTGTACTCTTTTTTTTAACTTTTATTAATTACACTTTATTCATTTTGTATCCCCCCATAAGCCCCTCCCTTCTCCCCTCCCGGTCCCACCCTCTCCCCCTTTCTGCATGCATGCCTCTCCTCAAGTCCACTGATAGGAGAGGTCCTCCTCTCCTTCTTTCTGATCTTAGTCTATCAGTTCTCATCAGAAGTGGCTGCATTGTCAGGGTTCTAGGTTATCTCCACGAACAGTCCTTGGTTGGAGTATGAGTCTTTGGGAAGTTCCCTGTGTTCAAATTTTCTTTTTCTGTTGCTCTCCTTGTGGAGTTCCTGTCCTCTCCAGCTCTTACTATTTCCCACTTCTTACATAAAATTCTTAAATGTCCTGGCATCTTTCAGAGGCCCTCTGTGGCAGGCTCCTGACTTGTTTCATGTTTTCTTCTTCTTCTGATGACCATTCTCTTTGCCTTTCTGAATGGGGATTGGGCTCTACCCTGCAGGGTATCAAAGCAGATGCTGATACTTATGGCCAACATTTGGGCAGAGTGCAGGGAATCTTATGAAAGAAGTGGGAAATAGTAAGATCTGGAGAGGACAGGCGTTTCACAAGGAGAGCAACAGAACCAAAAAATCTGGGCACAGGGGTCTTTTCTGAGACTGATAACTCCAACCAAGTACCATGCATGGAGATAGCCTAGAACTCCTGCACAGATGAAGCCCATGACAGTTCAATGTCCAAGTGGGTTCCATAGTAATTGGAACAGGGACTGTCTCTGACAGGAACTGATTGGCCTGCTCTTTGATCACCTCTCCCTGAGGTGATCATCCTTGCTAGGCCACAGAGGAAGACAATGCAGCCACTCCTGATGAGACCTGATAGACTAGGATCAGAAGGAAGGAAAAGAAGACCTCCCTTATCAGTGGACTTGGGGATGGGCATGCATGGAGAAGGGGAAGGGAGGGTGGGATCGGGAGAGAAAGAGGGAGGGAGCTACAGCGGTGATACAAAGTTAATAAAGTGTAATTAATAAAAAATGCCCTGGTGTCTTTTTATTGCTCCAAGTTGCACATTTCATTTCTTCCTGTCCCTTTTGCTCCAGGAACTTAAATCATTTCTCTTTCATGAATAGTCATGAATACTGGAAAGATGGTGTGTTTTATTAAAGCTGAGCACTGCACAGTCTCTTATTCCATGCACACTGATAAGTTCTGAATGTCTTGTTAATCAACATTTACTGTAGAAGAGATTTTTCTGATGGTGTCTGAAAGATACACTAATCTATGGCTATAAAATTAGGAACTTAAATGGTATTTTATTAGTATATTTACTAAGCAGGATAATATTTTAGATTCTCCTCTGGGGCTATGAATTATCCAGCCATATTTGTTTTTGTTTTTTGTTTGTTTGTTTTTTCATAATTAACAGTACCAAAAAACATTACTGTTTTTTCATAATTAACAGTACCTTCCATATTGAGGATCAGGCTTAAATTCAATCAGAATTTGGTGGGCAGTTACTTCCACAACATTGAAGCCACTATTTCACCAATCTTGTCTGGCCAATTATTATTGTAGCATGCAGGGTCCACATTATGGTGACCCCGTTGTTGATTTTTTTCTGCCTTGTTAGCATTCATATAACTTCCCAGCAATATGGCAGATAGCCAGTAAGCATTAATCTACCAGGTCAGTACCAACTAGATTTCTCTCTACCCTATGTCTCCAGTATGTGGTGTCTTCAGACACAGGATCTTACCTTCACGTTAAAGAGTGATGGCGACAGTCTGCAATGTTTGGAGAGTGCAGGAAACCCATTGGCCAACACCTCCAGAAGAGGTAACATATTTCCATAACTGTGCTATTTATTACATAACATATTTTGTCTGGGAAGGCATTGACCCACTAGTATAAGGTATCAACTTTTATTTATGCATATGAATACATTTCAGGAAGCTATACTCCAATAGCACATTTCCATAAAGCTTTTCCAAGGATTGTTAGTATTTTTTTTATCTTTTTAGCTATCATTTGTCTATTCTTCTGTCCCATCCTCTACTTCTTTTAACATATCGTGTTCCAATGTATTCAAATTCTTTCTTCATACCACCTGTACTCCATCTCACATATCTTGAAATCCCCTGTGTGAAATTAATTTTGAAGCGTAATCTCATTTAAACACACATACCTAAAGATTCAAAGTTCACATCCGTATCTGAGAGAAAATTTAGGACACTTGTTTTCTATACTTGAATTATACACTCAGAATGATTAATTACATCAACTCCAAACATTTCACAATTTTATTTTTAACAGCTGAATGAATAATATTTCAATAATTATATGCAGTAAATTTTCATTATCCATTCATTTTTTTTTGGCTGTCTAGGCTGTTTTCATTTCTGGGCTATTGTTAACACAGTAGTAATAAACACAGGTGAGCAAATATCTGTGTAGTAAGAGCCTGGCATAAGTATAATAGGATTGATACAGACAATGTGACATTGGCTGTTATTGTTGGGGCTATGTCTGCATCTATTACAGTCCTGGCCCAACAAGTTCATACTCAAGGTCATGTTAATAATTTATCCAGAGATGTTTCCTTGGTGTTGATTACTCAGGAAAAGATTGATGGAGGATAGACAGAGTCAGACAGAACCAATGCTGTATTAGGAACCCATTTTATATATGGGAACTCAAATTCAAAATATTAAGATTAGGCTCACCACTTCATGCCATGCTAATTATAAATGGCTTGGTATAATTCTGCTGCCTTACGGTGGCTCTGAGGTTACATGGGAACACATTTAGGCTCATCTGTGAGGAGTCTGGAATAATTCTTGGCCATGGAAATGCACAAGATTCATACTCAAATCAATGCCACTTCACATGCCCATTTACAAACCTCCTCAGTACAGGAAGAGGCTAAAACTATTTTTGACTCAATCAATTATTTTTGTTGACTAAGAACTTTTGGTCTTTTATTATAAATTTAGATATAATTCTAGCTATGATAGTGATGTTGTTATTTTTTTCCCAGTAGTCCTCAGAAAAACAATGGATTGAAAGCTACTTATTGAAAGATTTGTGAGATCCAGTTTTAAAAAGGGGGTGGGCAGAAATGGCATCGGCCAAGTCTCTTCTGGGAAAGGTACATGAGTGTAATGCAGAGGGCTGTTCTTATGGCAAGGCCTGAAGAGCTGGGTCCACACATGGCAAGGACCTGTGGAATATCTGTACAGAATCTCCTGGCCTTTTCTACGGAAAGATTTTGCCTTGTGTTTGTGTTTTGGGCTTTGCTTTTGGAAGTTTTTACTTTCTCTTTATCTGTGATAGATATTTCCCCGAATCAGAAAAAAAACAAAAAACAAAAAAATTGAACTGTGATTCATTCTTGTTTGTCTCTTGGAATAGAACAATCACTACTACTCTGTTTTTAATGATTTCATGTGGTTGAGTCAACACAAGAGCCTGGTCTGGTTGCATCTGGTAACATCTGGATGTTCTCTCCTGATGGGAACTTGGTTCTGATAACAGTCATTTGCCTACTGACCTGTTCTGAATATCTCAGTGATTATCAAAATGTTAGGAAAGTCTTGCTGGATCATTGGTTCTAAGACTTAATAGGAACATTCAGAGGTGGGCCAAGCAAGAATGAGGAGCTGATTCAGGATACTAATTTGCCAAGAGTCCTGGGTGTTAGAGGATTAGATCTCCTCATCAGGATGTGGGGAGACACCAGGTACCAATCAGGAAATCAGGATTTCCTGGGACTGTAGTCTATCATGCCTCTATACTGTCACCACAATTGCTGCCAACCACGGTCACTTGGTTATGTATCAGTGTGCTGGGTTAATTAT